GATTTTTTTGTACTAAAATACAAATATTCTAGAAGAATACTAATATTTTAAAACAGAAATTAAAAGCTATTTCCAGATCAAGGTGACATCACAATCTTTTATGAAATAACATTTGATTTAATAAATTGCAGTTTTCATTTGTGTTACATAAATGCTATTTCTTAAACATAGCAACATTACATGAATAGGCACTTATTAATCAATGTCATAGTACTGAGAGCAACTCTGGCCTAAATCATGGCTTTCCATTTTTTTAAGAAGCAGAGGCAGACCCACCCCCTTACCATTTTTCAAACAAAACATTAAATAAAATTCTGACATATCGAAACGATCAGAAGCTTGTGCTGTGCCTTCTGAAACAGAGGTGAAGAGCCCAAAGTCCTCCCTTTGAAGTCCTGCAGTGACCTCTGAACAGCCTCTTTAGAAATTCTTAAACTCTGAGAAACAGAGCTTAAAACCCCCAACGCTAGATCCAGCTGAAAATCAGGATATGACTATCCTCCCATTGAGTTCTCACGGGTCCAGAAATTGGTGGGCCCGCAGGTGTCAGTAATCCTGAGGGGACGCTGTGGGAGGCAGAGAAACCACAGTCTCTCTCCAACAGAACAACAAAAAAAATCTGTTTTCCAAGCCAAATTCAAGTCACACAGTTATTATCAGGAATTCCAAGAGACTGAACCCATGAGCATATATTTTATATATCATAGGTGCATGTGCAGTCTCCAAAACAACACTATTAAATCACATCTGAATTGTAAATACTATGCATTAAATACAAAAATGTCGATGTCTTAGTTTTATCAATAAAGGCATTGGGCTCTATTTTGAATCAGGCATATTTTTCCTCAAATACATAGTAATAGTCAAATTACTTATGAAAAGAATTTACCTCACCTTCCACCTGGGTTTACAGTCCTTAGGCCTCCAGTGACCTCCTGGCTCAATATCTAAATCCTTGGAGAAGAGTTGATGAATTTCATCAAAACTGACCTCACTTACATTGACATCGAGGAATCCCCCTATAAGTCAAAAACGTGAAAAGCTGTTTTAATATTTTTTGCCACAAAGATGTCAGTCGTACAAACAACAATCAGTAGGGTGACAGCATAACATAGCTGCCGGGACAGCACAGTTTACTCCTGTTATCACCACGCAAGTATTAACAGCACCCCCCCTTTCACTTTTCCTTTTGATGGTAATTTATATGATCATTCTACTATGTTTGGCAAATCAGCCAAAGACAATCTATTTCTTTTTTTTAAACTTTTTGCTGTTGAGTAATATACTGAATATTTTAATACCCTTTGGAAAATGTTTGCATGTCATTATAACTTAGCATATCGTTGCAATTTAACAACTATTCAAGTATTTTAAAACTATTTTTAATTTCAACATTTCAATATAGGAGACACGATAGCACAGTACTTAAGAATTAAATAAGCAGTTAGACTTACTGGGAGCTTTAATCCCAGCTTCTGTCCACAGGGGAAATTATTTAACCTCTCTGTGTCCCAGCTTCCTCCTCTATAAGAGAGGATAGTGATGCCTGCCTCTGAAGGTGGTTGTACACCACGGACTTCTAAAACGTTCCTGGTCTAATAGGCACTCACCAACCAAATTAACAAATATACTGTATTACCAGAGGTGCTTTTACTAATAGTTTTTCTAATGAACACCACACTTTGAAACAGGAACGAATCTTGAATGGAAAACCACTTCCATTAACACAGTCAAAAACAGAGCTAAGAGTCAGGAAGCCTCAGTATCTTCCCCTGAGAATTAAAACAGCTGCATGATCACTAGCATTCCCTTTAAAACGATGCTATCCTCAATGTTTTCAATGTCACTGAGAATGGCATATAAAATTCCAGGAGAATGAAACTATGATCATCTTATAGCAGTTTTAATGTCACCTGTTAACTTCCAAATAAGTACAAATTGCTCCGGAATGCCCTCGATCCAAATTCTTCTCTCTGACCTCCTCCTCTCATATTAATGAAATACAAACCAACAGATGTTGAGGTTTTCCATTTCAAGTGTTCTGAGCCTCTTGTGGCCACAATTTCACATAAAAAACACTCAGTTCCTCTCTAGAAAGCCTCCTTCCTCCTCTTATTCTATATTCTAGAAGGTCTTCACAATGGCCTCTCTTCCCATGCCCACTTCATCCTAGCCAGGCAGGACTGTCAATAGCCTCCACAGCACTGAGGCATGCTAGGGAGAAATATTAATACTTTAAATGCAAATGCCTGTGTTTCCCAGAGTAAACTAGGAAAAAATTTGTAATCTTCTACTGTCTGCCCATTCTACTGACAATATCTGTGGTCTTTTATAACCAAACACCCACCCTTTCCTGTGACAAGATATGCAAACTAGCTAATCTTAGAAAGGTCAGGTTCACTTAAAGGAAAGAGAAACCTATGAACTTGCAGAGAAGGGGAAAGTCAAATGTAAGACTGATCAGTCAACGTAAGTACAGACTATCATGACTCAGCTGACAAAAACAGAATCTAGCACTGTAATCAAATAAATTTCACACAAATAAATCTGATGCATTTAATAGTATGCATGATTGCTAAAATGATAGTAATTAGGCTAAATAATAAGCAGTTCACATAAGTAACTGAAGTTGGTATTCTTCATGCACTGTTAAACCAAATTTTTTTGTCTTTTTTTCAGCTTTATTGCTTCAACAGCTATAATCATCATTACTGTCAGCAGTTTTCTCCAGCGTCATTTGCAGTTTAATTTCCATTTCCAACGCACATGCGCTGCAAATGCGCAGGCTTTATATCTTTCTCCTCACTAGAGAGGGCTTCCTGTGTCTACCACTGTCCCCCATGCCTGAGGCATCCGAAATTCACCTTCCTCCCCAATCCACTTCCCTCAGAGTCCATTAGCAGCTTTCTCATGTGCTTAATTGCTCCTTGCTCTGAAATCCTACTATGTTGCTGGCTGAAGGCCAAAGATGACCCAGTGGCATAAGGTTGTCCTACCAGTGGTAATAGCAACATCACTGGGGGCAGATGGAGGGCAGAGAACAGGCCTCCCTGCCAGCACTGGGAACAGTGAGAAGGAGGGGAGGGGAGGGAGTGGGGGAGAGGGAGAGGGAGATGAATAAATGCTAATTACTGTTGGGCAGGGTGGTGGTGTCAGGAAGACCCTGTAAACAGGAAAAGGAAGGGAAAGGAGTGGCCAGGAGGAAGCACTCAGCAGATTAACTAGTGGCACGTGGTTTCCAAACTGTCCTCAGTGGAAGGAACCTCTCTCAGGGAACCTGTGGCTGGGGTATGGAGGGCTCGGAGTCCCAAACATGGTCACTTTCATCTCTTTTATGTACTGGGTATCCCCTTCAGGTTTCACTCAAGAAGTATTCCAGTGCTTTAAAAAAGCATTTGAGCCGGGCACAGTGGCTCACACTTGTAAAATCCCAGCACTTTGAGAGGCCGAGGTGGGAGGATCATTTGAGACCAGGAGTTCAAGACCAGCCTGGGCAACATAGTGAGACCCTGTCTCTACAAAAAAATGAGAAAAAAAAAAAATTAGCTGGGTTGTGGTGGTGTGCATCTGTACTCCCAGCTACTCTGGAGGCTTGAGGTAAGAGGATCACTTGAGCTCAGGAGTTCAAGGTTACAGTGAGCTATGATTGCATCACTGCACTCCAGCCTGGGTGACAGACCAAGACACTGTCTCTAATAAAAGATAATAAATAAATAAAAGCATTTGAAAACCACCTGCTATAAATGAAGTCAGGAGAGGACACAGCCTTCTTTACTCATAAAGAAGTTAAGCAATCTGCCAGTCCAGCCCCCTTTATTTCTTAAACTTGCTGAGATTTCAAGGGCAACTGAGCTCCACAGAGAACTCCCAATCTTCACTCTCTGCCTGTGCTAAATCTGAGATTTTCAACTGGGAACAAATGCTTTCTTTTCCCTGTTAGAGATTTAAAGGTCAAGAAAATAAAGATATTGACTGAAATCCATTTACCCAGTAGTGTAATCACAATCAGCAAACAAATGTAAATAATATAATTTACCAAATAATGTATTTCACTCTGTTGACATGGGCCTGGGGCTAGAAAGGAAAGAGAGAACTGAGTGCCTGAAGGGAGGAGGGGCTGCCAGTTACCTAGAGGATCAAGGTGAGAAGCAGGGAACTCATGTGGCATTAAACTCCCTCTCAGTCTCGTGTGCCAAACTGCTTCTGTCATGTGTGAGAATAACTGAGTTGCACCACTGCTTATGTAGGACGTTTACTGTAATTTCCTAATGCTGAATTTGCAAGATATGCAACAATGACTCCCATTTTGCAAAGCTGGACCTGAATGGGCCTGCAGTCTGTTAGGCACACATGGGCCCAAATGACAGGCTTACTATGATGTGGGTTCTCATGGATCACATGACATGATTTAGGAAATTATTTTTTCTATTAAAATATAATTCTTAAAACGACAATATTCACTACATATGAATTACCTATATTTGCATTTTTCTTACATTTAAAGTAAAATTTAAGGCATATCCCTAGGCAGAGAGTTGTTTTCTCTATACATCAACAGTTTTAAGTGATTACTTCACTTAGTTTGGGGCCTGTATCTATTTTTTGGTATTTAAAGCCTAATTCTGGATACTTCAGCTTTTGTCTCTGTTTTACCCTCAGGGTTTTAAATGTGCACAGCCCAAAGCTCTTGATGACAATGTCAGAGAAAGATCTGAATTTCTCCTAGAAATGTCCTTAGGGTGAATTCTTCCTCAAAGCCAGAAAAGAATTTTCATGATAAGATGGGGCATTCCCTCCCCCCAACCTCTATGTTGCTTCCTGAGTACAGCTCTAGGCTGAACAGTTATGAGTCATCCAGCCTTTGGTCACCTGCTGTCCCCTTTGAAGCCAATCTGACACTGCCTATCTCAAATGCTTAAGCTTCTCAATTTCTAGAATTTTATAAATTCTTAACACATGACTTCTTACTTTTCTTGAAGCAACCAAACCTGAGCATTCTAAATGTCAAGATAGAGTGTTTGTCACACACCCCCAATGCCAAGGGCAACGCCTAGACACAGGATGAATGAATGAATGACTAGGAAGGTCAAGCTGGCTGTCCACTACTGTCTCACCCCTACTTCCCTCCTACCTGCATTTCCACTCTCTGGCTCCAGCAGGTGCTAAAATACGTCTGTAAGCACTCTGACACCGCTCCCTCTCATTAAAGCCTCCTTCCCTTCCACCTTTGCACACCTCCCTTCTGGTCAATCTCATGGAGATTTAAAGTCCTCTACTATAGCCCCATTTTTCCTATCTGTTTGCCTCCTTATGAAGTGGTTTGTTGATTTTGGTGGTGTGCCTAAGAATTACCAGGTGTACTTGTATAAAACGCAGATGACTAGCCCCATCGTCAAGATTTCTGTGTCAGTCCTTGCCCATGGGTCATGGTTATGGCCACTGGCTTTATTTGAACACATTTCGGCTGTGTGAACTGCCCGCCATTGAGTCCTGCCTCCCAGAGAAAGAAGTTAGAACCCGCTCTCCAAACCAGTTGAGCAGGTAGGAGCAGTCATGTGACCAGATGCACCTGCAGGAGGCTTGGGAGCAATAGATGCCCCAGAAAGTGGTCTGGGCCCTGTTTTGGCTGCTCAACCTTTGACCCTGACTCTCTGGACACCTAGCTTTTCTCTGGGTTCCTTAGTTTCTTTTCATGGATTCCTTTTCCTCTTAAACCAGATAAAGCATATTCTGTGGTTTGCAACCAAGAACATTTTGATTTGGCTTTTGCTGTAGGTCTGGGGTTTGGCTCAGAGGTCTGCTAAGTATCCCAGCTGATAATGGCACAGGTCATCCCTCAACCACACTTAGGGAAATAGAGCTCTATGACCTTCACCTGATCACAGCACCTATACACTCACAAACATCCTATTCCACCAACTTGCCAACCTACCACACCTGGGTCACCAACCCCAACCTTGGAGCAACAATTGTCCATGTCAAATCCTTCACCCAATAAACAGCACTGAAGAACACCACA